GGGTAGGATTTAGGCTATGTGGTCTTATGAAACTGATGGGTATAGTAAAAAATGGCAACTCCAGAATTTGCTTTCAGGGCTGTCTATTATCTCCTAATGCAAGGGCTCCCTCTGCAGGCTCCAGTAACTCTCAGCTCCCGCGTGGGAAGCTAAGTCCTGCCGTGCAAGCGCCTGTCGTAATTCCTTTTATTTGTGATTGTCACGCCATCCACTGACAATAGAACCACAGGTCCAAACGTGTCATGGTGAACACGCTTCGTAGGTACCCATGGTGCTGCGTTGTGGCAGACCGGGTGCTATCAGATGGTGAAGCGAGTCTGGACCATGGTCCTCTTGTATGACTTCACCCGGTGTTGTGACCTTCTACGGCACATGGCCCGTGGAACAAAAGGCATAATACATCTTCAAGACCGCACCATAGTAGAGAGACACTGTCTCTGTGGATTTCCATAGCTCATTAAGTGCCTGATATTCCCATCTATTAAAAAGTATGGTATAGAAACACCGAGGAACAACCCTAAAACCATGTTATGGACCAACTGTAACGTCTGCAGAATATGTTAAGCTAAGACTCGGTTTAAAGTCTATCAGATAAACAAATGCATATATCAGGTTCTATTTACCTAGGTCAAAAGATAACAAAAGATTATTTGGATAGATAAAACATGGCTATACCTCAACAATTATATGGATAAAGATGGACGGCTTATTTGAGGAAAACACTGTAGCACCACAGGTGATGTGAGAAACACGTTATCAAAGTTCACTGGCCAACGTTCAAGGGTGGAAAGGGCAGTAAGGTGTCCACAAAGTCTACACTCAGCCCTCAGACACTCCTACGAGATGAGCGTTAGGGAAACTGAGGAAGAGAGAGAATGAGTAGCAATAATGAACATGGACAAGGCTGGCCTAAAGTACACTCACTCACAACTTATTTCAACTGTTTTTTCCACTTGCTTTCCCATCTGGGTTCAGTGTGTGTGTGTGTGTGTGTGTGTGTGTGTGTGTGTGTGTGTGTGTGTGTGTGTGTGTGTGTGTGTGTATCAGTATGATTAATACTAATTGAGAAGGAAGTTTTAACTAAAATCATCACAAGAAAAATATCATGAATTGAATTGTAAAGTGTCGAATTCTTTCTTAAAAGAAATATTACTCAATTAAAAAATCTCCTACCTTGTCTCTGTATTCTTAATTTTTAAAAGGCATGTAACATTTGGGACATGCCAAGAATGCATGAAAGACCTGTAAGTTCTAATGATACTGAATCCACCTGTGTGCTTTTATCCTTTGCCCATCTTTCTATCTTTAAAATCTTGTATTCTTCTCTTTATCAATGGTGGACATCACGGGAACTTTTCCTTACCTTTACTGGTGAGGTTTTTATTGGATGTTGTTTGTGGATTAAAAAAAAATCTATCAAAAACATTTTATTATGAAAATTATTAAGCGTATATAGAAGTAGAAAGGCTAGTAAAATGAACTTCCATTTACCCATCACACTTGAACAATTATCAGTATGTGGTCAATCTTGTTCTATCATCCGCTTCCACTGCATTCCTCTGAAGCAAATCCCAGACAACTCCCATATAAAGGTTTAGCATTTGTCTCTCAAATATAAAAGCTCTTTTTAAAAAACATAAATGCAATACCGTTAGCAAAATTAAAAAACATGAATAATTCCTTAGTATCATCAAATATCCAGTGTTTAAATTTACCAGCTTGTCTTACAAATTTGTTACAGCTGGTTTGTCTGAATTGGGATCCAAATGATGTCCACACATTGCATTCGATTGAGATGCTTCTTAAATCTCTTTTAATCAAAGGTTAGTCATCCTTTGTTTTTCCCTTGTGCTTTTGGTATGGATGAGTTCCTTGTCCTTGAGGGTCTTGTCGATGCTATTCTTATGGTGTTGACATGTTTCTACATCCTCTGGTTGTCAGATATAGAGATTTGCTCAGATACAGGTTCTGTTTTTCTCAGCAGAAAGCTTTCCAGGTGGGGCTGTGTGCTCTCCATTGCTCCACATTGGGTTGCGGCCCTATGCTTCCAACCTCACCACAGAAGAGCAGAGGTGAATAACAACACAAGAGGGAGGCATTGTATCTGGGGTGGGGTTCACAGCAACCGGGCAAAGAAGACAATTATTTTTGACAAAACATCGAATGGTTCTGGTTAGAATCTACTGAACTATGTTTACCTGGGTTCTGTTTTGCTGGTGGGTGTCAAAATGCAGCAAGTGTGTGAATCAGTCAGGTATAGCTGGAAACTCTTCCCCAGTGAACTTACAGATACTCCCTCTAAAGGTGTACCTTGAGTAAAGAGACTCAAGAAAAGAGAGACAACAGAAATATATGGGGTACAGGACACGTCATGTTCTCTACTTGGAGCTCTTGATGATGGGAGTGATCATTTAAGCCGGGAGAAACTTGGGGTCAAAGGTGGGAATCAGAAGGAGAGAGGTGTTAGAGAGATAATTAGTACCTGTGGTCACAAAAGCAGCTATGTACTATTTGGAAGAGATGGAGACAGGAGACCAGAATAAAAAAGTGGCTTGCAGGCACAAGGGAAATAGGTAATTATGAAATTAGAGATTAAAAGAATTAAGTTGGTAATAAAGTTTAAATCTTTTCCTTTAAGGCCTTGTTTTCTCTTTAGGATTTATAAGTAGAAAGTAAAATTAAATAAGGATGGGCTGTTTTGCTAGATAAACAATTTCATCATTTCTTATAATCCATGATTTTTACACTGTTGCAATCTAGAAGCTATTTAGCTCCTAACAGAACATGGATGAAATGGGACCTCAGGCAAAGAGCTTGGGAGATTTAGCTTCAAAGCCTGGCTTTCATTTCTTTCTTTCTTTCTTTTTTTTTTTTTTTCTTTTCCTTTATAATTTTTTTGAGGCATATTTTATATATCCTAGAACTCACCCACTCCAAGTATATAGTTCAATGATTTTTAAAGGAAATTTAGCAAGTTGTACAGCCTCACCATAAATCAGTTTTAGAACATTTTCTTCCCCCCAATAAAATCTCTTATGCCCATTTATAGTTAATCCTGTCCTCATTCCAATTCCTGGTCCCAGGCAATCATGGATTTACTGTCTGTCTCTATAGATTTGCCTCTTCTGGATATTTCATACAAATGGAATCAAATATGTGGTCTCATAGATCTGGCTTCTTTCATTGAGAATAATGCTTTTGAGGTTCATCCATGTTGTAGCTTGTCGCTGTGGTCCGTTCCTTTTTATTGCTGAATATACCACATTTTGTAAATCCATTTATCAGTTGCTGGGCATTTAGGTTGTTTCTAGTTTTTAGCTATTATGAATAATTCTACTAAGAGCATTCATGTGTAAGTCTTTGTGTGGACATATATTTTCATTTCCCTTGGGTACAGGAGTGAAATTACTAGTATACAGTAAATCGATGTGGAACTTTTTAAGAAACTGCCAAACTGTTTTCCAAAGTGGCTGTACCAGCAACTTCTGAGTGTTCCTTCTTCTCCATGTCCTCCTAGTCTTGCTTTTCAATAGCTGTGCGGCCTTCGGCTAACTTTGATTTCCTCGTTAATAAAGCAACTGGGGTGGGGGCTCCTGGGTGGCTCAGTCGGTTAAGCGTCTGACTCTTGGTTTCAGCTCAGGTCATGATCTCAGGGTCCTGGGATCGAGCCCCACGTTGGGCTCTGTGCTCAGCATGAAGTCTGCTTGAGATTCTCTCCTCCCTCTGCCCCTCCGGCTCCTACTCTCTCTTTCTCTAAAATAAATAAATAAATCTTTAAAAAAAAAACCCAAAACCAGCTGGGGTGAGGTATTAATATTTCCCAAGTACCTACTCAGCTAGATAGGCACAGTGGCACAAGAGAGCGAGCCATTGTATCTGGGGTGAGGTTCACAGCACCCAGGCAAAGAAGACAATTATTTTTGATTAAACATCGAATGGTTCTGGGCAAAATCTATTGAACTATGTTTACACATTGTTCAATAGATTTGTGTATTGTGTATTATGTGGTCACAATACAATAGATTGTGTGTCTATTACAGTGTCTAGGCATTGTGATAGACATTGTGACAGAGACACTCACATTCTTTGTCTTAACTTCACCGTCATTCCCCAGGAAATTTAAGTATGATTTCGTATGTATCTGATGAATGTGCTGAGGTTCAGAGACATTAGGTGACTTAGGCATCACTATAACACAGGGTTGTCGTGAGTACTAAATTATATCCAATAACCTATATGAACATGCATAGTAGAGTTCTGGGTACATAAAAGGTGGCTAATGAAGAGATTTTCATTTCTCTGCTTCTTCCTATCATTCACATCTCACATAGATAGATCTAAGCACAGGGCCTGAGCTACCCTAATCAGGCCCCACCACTTTCCTGGGCTATTTGCCTGTTCCAAAAGACTTTTGGGGGGGGATCTCAAAAGCTTGTATAGAACTTATCCTGTAGTTGCAACTGCTTTTAGGGAAGAAGTATCTCAAAGCTCATCCTCAACCCCAAGTAGCATAATTTTTGTTGCATGAAACAGTAAGAGCAACTAGTTCAGGATGGGGTTATAGCTTTCAATGGTTTCTTTTTATTCTTGTTTCTTCTTTCTCTCTCCACTCACAATGGCGGCATTTTTCCAAATTCCAGTGAAGGGAGTTCCGCAAAAGTACCTTTTAAGGTTGTCAAAAGTTAACTGACTTGATTGCTTTGAAATGGACCCATATCAGTTGGCTGCAAGATTACTTATGTAAGTGGCAATAAGAAATGAAAACAAAAGGCAGTAACACTCCCTTTGTCAAGTATAGGAAAGTGATCTGGGAGAAAAGGGCTCAATTAATATCTTAGTCAAATTCAAGGGTTTGGGTTTTAAAATATAATTTTATGTATGAAAGTTTATATAAAATATTTTAATATGAAATATGACATTTTATATAAACTATACAACTTAAAATTTTTTTTTGTCTTTTGTTTTAGATCAGTAACTTGTCATTCATTTTGTCTTTTCAGGGAGAGCCTGGTGTCAGAGGCCCCCCAGGCCCCTCTGGGCCTCGGGGCATAGGAACCCAAGGGCCAAAGGTGAGTCTTTAAGTCTGTGCTCTGTGTGAAGGTCAGGTACCATCTGTGCCAACCCATTGAACATTAACTTCACAGCATGTGTTTATTTTAGTGTTGACATTTTTTCTTGAGTGCTGACGAAAAGTCTTATTTTCTCATATTATGTAGCTTTCAGTAAAATAGATCATTTTAGGGTATAAAGCCATTTACTTCCCCAAAAGAAATTGGAAAGTGTCTCTTAAGAAAGCGGTTGCAAAATGCTCAAGATATTTCCAGGTTTCTTGGAGGCTGTGCCATCATTAAGGAGCACACATTTTGACTCTGGTCAAGGTACCTCAGCTGATCTTTTAACAGAATGCTCAGTAATCTGTCTATTGCGTCAGATGTGCATAGTCCACTCTGTCAGGGCCTCAGGGCAAGGGTCTAGATTTATTGTCCCCATGGAAGGTGAGAGAAACTTCCTTGAACTCCCTTTGCTCTCATTTCTATTTCTCTTTCTTTTGTCATCTCCAATCTGGTGATTATTCATCCTTTCTTTCTTACAATCCAGTGTTTTTCAATGAGGGAGATCTTGCCCTCCCTGGTGTGCCCCAGGGGGACATTTGGCAATGTCTGGATCATTTTGGGTGTCACAATGGGGGGAGGATTGCTACTGCCATCTAGTGGGAAGGGGGCAGGGATGCTGCTAAACATCCTCCAGTGCACAGGACAGCCCCCATCATAAAGAACTATCCAGCTCAAGATGAGAAGAGTGCAGAGGTTGAGAAGCCCTGTTTTAACTGTTGATTCACGTGTTCAACAAATAATTCTTTGATTTGTTCAAAAACCGAAGTAAAGAAATATCAGGCATGTTCATAGGGCAAATGGGTGTCAGTAAGCCACTCATTTCAAATTTCAAATCCTTATGTTCATGACCAAAATGCACAGATGAATTAGAGCCTCATACTCAAAGAGGACAGGGCAAAGGCCCCATGAGTCAAAGATTTTACTGAGGATCCCAGAATTACCAAGATTCTTAGTTTATCTTTTTTTGTCCATTGACTTCATTTTGGCAGTAGGTGATTTCTTAACTGTGTGGATCACTTTACATGGATGAAGATACTCCCAAGATGTTAGTAGTTGTTATCACCGGGTGGTGGAAAGAAGGGTCTATTTTTTTCTTTGTCGTTGTCATCTTTAATTTTTTTTTCAATGAGCGGGTGTTCCTCTTACAATTAGGAAAAAATAAAGCTTTTTTCTCTGTAGTGGAAAGAAAAAAAGGCTGACTTATATAGTAACTTATATTAATCCAACATTTCCCAAAGCTTGTTCCATCAAATGTTAATTAGGAACTTCTGGAATAAACAAAGTTAAACTAATCTCTCTATTGTGGGACTTCTTAGAGGTTTTAATATATTTCTATGGGCATACCTTGGAGACATTTTAGGTTCAGGTCCAGAATACCACAATAAAGTAAATACCACAATAAAGAGAGTCCAATGAATTTTTTGGTTTCCCAGTACACATAAAAGTTATGTTACCATTACATTCTAGTCTATTAAGGGTGCAATAGCATTATGTCTAAAAAAAAAAAAAAACCAAAGAATACATCTTCATTAAAAATACTTTATTGCTAAAAATGCTAACCATCTTCTTAGCTTTCCACAAGTAGTCATCTTTTTGCCATTGGAGGGTCTTTCCTCTATGTTGATGGCTGCTGACTGATGAAGTTGGTGGCTGTTGGAGGTTGGCGTGGCTGTGGCAGTTTCTGAAAACAAGACCACAGTGAAGTTTGCCACCTTGTTGACTTTTCTTTTCACGAACAATTTCTTTGTGGCACGCATTCGATAGTATTTTACCCAGAATAGAACTTCTTTGAAAATAGGAGTCATTCTTCTCAAACCCTGCCACTGCTTTATCAACTAAGTTTATGTAATATCCTAAATTCTTTGTTGTCATTTCAATAATTCTTCACCTTTTTTTACAAAATGTATTTCTTAAATAAGACTTGAAAGTCGGAATTACTCCTTGATCCATCAGCTGCAGAATGGATGCTGTGTTAGCAGCCATGAAAACAACATAATCAAGTTGTCCTTCTCCACCAAGAGCTCTTGGGTGACCAGGTGCACTGTTAATATTTTGAAAACAATCTTTTTTTTTTTTTTTCTGAGCAGTAAGTCTCAACAGAAGGTTTAAAATATTCAGTAAACCATATTGTGGACAGATGTGCTATCATCAGGCTTTGTTGTTCTCTTTATAGAACATAAGCCAAGTAGATTTAGCATAATTCTCAAGGGCCCAGTATTTTTGAACTGGTAAATGAGCACTGGCTTCAACTTAAAGTCACCAGCTGCATCAGCCCCTAACAGGACGATCATCCTGTCCTTTGAAGCTTTGAAGGCAGCCACTGACTTCTCTCCAGCTATGAAAGTCCTAGATGGCATCTTCTTCCAATATAAAGTTGTCTCATCTATGCTGAAAGTCTGTTGTTTAGTGTAGTCACCTTCATTTACTCTCTGAGCTAGATCTTCTGGACACCTTGCTGCAGCTTCATCAGCACCTGCTGTTCACCTTGTACTTTTATGTTATGGAGAGGACGTCCTTCCTCATGAACTAAACTCTGCTAGCTTCAAACCTTCTGCAGCTTCTTCACCTCTCCCAGCCTTCATAAAATTGAAGAGAGTGAGGGCCTTGTTCCGGATCACGCTTTGGTTTAAGGGAAAGTTATGGCTGGTTTCATCTGCCCAGACCACTAAAACATTCTCCTTATCAACAATAAGGCTGTTCTGCTTTCTTATCCTTCTTGAGTTCACCGGAGTATCACTTTTCATTTCCTTCAAGAATTTTTCCTTTGCATTCACAATTTTGCTAACTGTTCAGTTCAAGAGGCCTAACTTTTGGCCTGTGTTGGCTTTCGACATGCCTTCCTCACTCAGCTTAATCACTTCTAGCTTTTAATTTAAAGTGAGAGTTGTGTGACTCTTCCTTTCACTTGACCACCTAGAGGACATTGTAGGGTTATTAGCTGGTCTTATTTCAATACTGTTGTGTCTCAGGGAATAGGGAGGCCTGAGGGGAGGGAAAGAGACAGGGAAACGCTCTTGGAATAATCAAAACACATACAACCTTTGTGATTAAGTTTGCTGTCTTAAATGGATGCGGTTCATGGTGCCCTAAAACAATGACCATCGTAACATCAAAGATCACTGATCAGAGATCACCATAAGAAATACAATAATAATGAAAAGGCCTGAAATATTGTGAGAGTTACCAAAATGTGACACAGAGACAGGAAGTGAGCAAATGCTGTTGGAAAAATGGCACAGATAGACTTGACTAACACAGCGTGGCCACGAACCTTCAGTCTGTAAAAAAGCAGTATCTGGGAAGCCTAATAGTGAAGCACAAGGAAACAAGGTATGCTTGTATGCACGAGGGATCTCCAAGGAGAGGCACACACATGGTGTAGAACACTTTCCAATCTCATTTGACCACAGAAGTCTTTCCTCAAGAAGCATGGAGTTCACTCATGCTGTAGAAAACACATACTGGGAAATGAGGTACTTTTTGCTTCATTTACCTATTTTCTTAAAAATTCAATACTGATCCACTGAATCTTTAGCTGCAACACCAGTGACTAGCACTCCATATGGAAATGGAGAAACACAGTAGAGGCTACACAGAATTATGTGTGAGTGGTCTTCACACCCCTGGTGTTCTGGGGGTTGGTGGTGGGGCAGCTAGAGGAGACCAAGCAGACAAGGCTACCAGGCCAACACTTCTGCTTAAGCCAAACAGCTCTGCCTTGCCTTTTTACTTGTATTTGGATTATGCGTAAGAGTTTTGCGAGGGTTCTGTGGCTTAAAATTGGGGGGAAAACACTGCTTTATATGAGATATGATATAACTTCATGGGGTGCATAGATTAGGTCCTGATCAGACCAAAGTAAGAAGGAAGCCAAGAGCAGTAACACATTGTTTCTTCCTAAATCTTCTCATACTTCTCTTCAATTTCTCTTGGTCTTCCAACAGGGAGATATTGGGCAGAAAGGCTTGCCTGGCCCTCCTGGTGCCCCTGGCTATGGATTACAAGGAATTAAAGTAAGTGGATATGATCGCTTGCGTCACCTCTCAGTTCACCAGAATGATGAGAGAAGAGGTTGTGGATAATATCAAATGTGACTATTAGGAAATGAATTTAACATAAGCTTAGCAGTTAAAATTACCTCCCGTACTTAGAGACACAGTCCAGAAGTGTAAAAATTCTCTAAGTACATTAGCTTCGTGAACACCAGACATTACGTAAATTGCTCAGTGAGACATTGAATGGTTATGGTGGGTTTGTTGTCCTTGCCGGTCTCTGAGCCGAGTGGAAAATGTATGCCCAGCTGTGTGTTCTCTCCCTGTCTCTGTCTCCATCTCTCACCTTCCTTCCTCACCTGTATCTTCCATTCTTAGCCCAGGGTTTCCTAGTCTTAGCTCACAGTAGAACCGCCTGAGGAGCTTTATGAATAATACTGATGACTTGCCCCAGAAGAACTAGATCTGAATCACCGGTGCTAGTGCTTGAACACTGTGGGTATTCAATACTGGTAAAAGCCCCCAGGTGATTCTTCTGAGCATCTAGGATAAGAACTCTGGCTCTAGGCCCCGAGTCTGTGTTACTGGAATTCACAGCTACCTGTATTCTGCGCTCTTCCTGTCTCAACAGCAATAAGCCTATCCAACAAGGTGGCCCAGGTCTCGGTAGACAAAATTTGACATCTAACGGTTGCCATGCAATTTCAAACAATTTCCTCTTCTACATCTCCTATGTTGATTTATTGATTTTTAATTTCTATTTTTTTACTGGCTCATTCTCATTCTATTTTCTCCCAAATAAAATTCTATTGTTTTTACCACGCATAAGCTTCAAAATGGAGTAATTCATCCCCTAGATAATACTGACTCTTAAAAAGTGGAAACATTCAAAATAAATTCTTTTTCAAATAGAATTTTTTAGGGCACCTGGGTGGCTCAGTTGGTTAAGCCTCTGCCTTCGGCTCAGGTCATGATCCCAGGGTCCTGGGATCGAGCCCTGCATCAGGCTCCCTGCGTAGTGGGGGGTCTGCTTTCCCCCCACCTTCCTGCTTGCTTGTGTTGTCTCTTGCTATCTCTGCCTCTCTCAAATAAATAAATAAAATATTTTAAAAAAAGAAAAAAAGTTCTGTTCAAATAGAACTTCTTAGTAAGTAGGAGACAGTAAGAGCTTGAGATAATAATTGCAAAAATCCTGTGTTGAAAATAAACCACCTACTCCAGTGTAGAGAGTGACCTTAGTCAAGAGCAAAACTCATGGAAAATGGGTTAAATCTTTCCCTCTACCACACAGTTCTAGGGCTTCCACGGTTGGTCTTCTAAGCAACACTTGCTCATCTGTGGGGCTGAGGATCCAAAGGAAGGCCCAACAGTTAGCATGTTGCTGATGTACCAGCACTGGAAAATACAACAAAAAACTGCTTCCTTGTAAACAACATCGCTCTCATGCTTAGTCGTAAAATTCTACAGTTAAAAGATGGTAATGCTCTATTAGATGCCTTTGCATCAGTCTGTTTAGATAATGAACCCATGTTAGACCGTGGGTCTTTTCACCAGTAGGAGCTCAGCTCACAGGTGCTGGTAGTTCCTTATTGCACCCTCGTTAAATCCGGTGCCAACATTGTCCTTTCTGTTATCAGGGGAAGGGGGGTGGAAACTTCCTTATTCCCCAAGGAGCATTGCAGGTTGCACTTAATCCTCACCAACTCTGACTGAGGTGCCCTGCCTCCCTCACCGCTTGTCCTTTTTTTATGCTCCCCCAAGGTATGCTATGTTCAAACTCCATCTTAAGGGAGACTCTTGTGTGAAGCCTACCACGACAGGGAAAGAACCAAAATGAAAACTGTCACATATCCATTGCTAGCAGAAATGAGATGAGCTTTTCTTCCAGTGAGAGCTGTGACCAGATCCTACTTGGCAGTGAGCTCTGACCAAGGCTGTCTCATAAAACCTCTCTTGACATATTGGATTGCCTGGCATCCTGTTGGCAGAGGGCAAGCCTATTTTGCTCAGGACTGCCACCTCATTTTCTTGACCCTGGGTTGTACCATCGCTGTAAAAGGGAGGGAACTGAAAAATCTAGTTGGTGGTGTTCCTCCGAGTCATTTTAAGATGAGTGAAATGTCATTTTATGTTCAATTGCTGACCTATTTCCCACCTCTTTCTAAAACCCATCTGAATTAGTAAAACACTTCTGTTGGTATGTCTGTTGGTAAGTCTTTGATGGAAGCCCTTGTTGCTGTTAACCTTTAACACTGGGGTCTGCTCTGTGCCCTGTCTCTTATGCTGTCCCAACCATGGGGAAAATAGGGCTTGGGCTACAATCACAGAAGTGATTTGTTCTAGCACTTGCCTAACTTTGTTGCTAGAATATTGTGTCTTCAGGCAGTCACTCATCAACCAACCTACCACCCACCCACCAATACTGGTTGAGCACCATCTATGTCAGGCAAATAACCTAACTGCAATATAGTGAATGAAGAGACATGAATTTAGTCATGGCATTTATAGGCTATAAAATAACCACACTCTGAGCTCCAGAGAGTATGGAGGGGAGGCACATGGAATAAATTGGGCTTACAGTAGGCCAAAGTAATGAGTGTAGTCTTAATCCCAAGAGCAATTGAGAGTCAGGGAAGGATGACATGATCATCCTTCAGACAGGTATTAGAAAAGACTCACTCTGTCTACCATCTGTAGAATGGATGTGCATGACTACAAAGAATGTGGGTGCTGCCCTTCCCATTGCCCCCAACGTATTCTCCCGATTCTTCATGCAGAAGGGTGTGATCTTCTGTCAACCCTCTCTTTCCGCCTCTCCTGAAGCTCTGGGACCATACATGGGAAACATGAAAACATAATGGGCCCACTCCCCTTGGGTACCATGGCAGTCTCCTGCAGTTTCTCTGCAGTACCCCCTGTGACTCAGCAGGCTCTGCACTGCAGAGAAGCTCTGGCTCTTTCAGCGACTTTAGTGCTCTCAACTACAGATGTCTATTGATTGAATGGATGAATATGGGACTATGGCTCCTTGGCCTTGGCCTTTCAGGTTCATGGTGTAGGCCGGGAAGTTATTTGGTGCCACCATCTTGTCCCACTGTGAATACTAACCATTCCCCTAAATATGGACTATAGATATACCAGTAATCTTCCAAGTGAAGTCAGGAGGGAGAAGCAATGGGGTGGGGTCTCTAGGGATTCCTTGCTCTGTCAACTAGCCCTTCCAGGGACCAGGAGGGATATAATGAGAGGGTGGGCCAGTTTCCATCTCTACATCTTTGTTGAAGTCAGTTCTGGTGTCCTGCTCAGCCCTGACATTCCTGTAGTATTTTTTCTCAGAGGATCAAGAGGTATTTATAAAAATAAGATTCCTGGTGGCACTCCTTGACTTTAGGAGTTTCTGAGGTAGATTTGTGGACTGGGCTTTACTATAACTCCTGCTATGCATAAACCCTTTATTCATTAAAAAATGTGCTTCCATGCCACTGGCTTCCATTCTACAATTAGGGCTGAACATGAATGATCCAACCCTGGCTGAAGGAACTGTCCCTGTAGTCAGGCTGGGCTAGCAGATGGGCTAGCGGATGGGCTATGGATGGGCTAACGGATATTTAGGCCAAGCCAGTGTGAAAAATAGCCACAGTGACATGCTGGGGGGAATCTGGTGAATGTTATCTGGCAGAAATCCCAGTATCTCCAAAGTGGCATAGATAGTGATGATTAGAGTGGTCACATGGTCTTAGAGCGAAAGGATTAACCTCTAAGACAACTGGGGCCCAGAAATGGAGGTAAAGTCAATGCAAATGACCTCTCCCTGCTATAACTGATCTTAAGACATGATGGAAAGAAAATGAGCTTTAGAGCCACACAGACCTGGCCTGAATCTTATGTAAGCTTGGATAAAGCCTTGAACCTCAGCTTCTTCATCTTTAAAACGGAGATAAGACAGACTATTTTACAAGGCACGATGAACATAAAATTGTACAAAGTGTCCAGTACACAGTACTGAGTACTCAGCCAGAGCTGGGGCTATGGAATTGACATATTTGAATCATGGCTCCCTGAGTACTATAACCTGGCCTCAGTTTTCATATCTGAGTAATGGGGATTATAATAGTACTATTACCTAAAGTTGTCATGAGGAATAAATGAAATTAAATGAGACATTTAACACAAGGCTTGGCACATGGTTACATATGCAGTAAATGTTTGTAGTTATTCACATTATTGTTCCTTCCTGCTTCCCTCCCTTTCCACTAGTCCTTCTTGTATTTTCTAAGGTGAAGGCCCAGAATTCTGGCATTCAAATGATTTAATGCTCTAAAACATAAAATACTGGTTACATGAGTTAGTGTAGGCCTGACTCTAGTACTAAATGAACACCAAAACGAATAATGGCTCACACACAACTGAGGTTTTTGCTCACTTAACAGACCAATGTAAGTGTTCCTTTTTGGTGGGCAATTTTCTTTCATTTAGAATTTCAGAGAATTTCATCCTCCATTTATTCTTCCTCCTTGTGCTGGGCCTCTTTACCACTTATACCCAGCAAGCAGACAGGGAGAGTGTGAAAGAGGCACACCTGTTTCTCCCAAGTCTTGGTCGGGTGTTGACAACATGTCACCTCTGCCCCATTTTACTGGCTGGAACCAGCGTCGTGGAAAGGCAGTCCAGCTGTGTGCCCAGGAAGAACCAGAGGTTTGGTGAAGAGCTGGCATTAACGGAACACATAATTTAACCTGTTTCTAGGAAGGATGGCAAACTTAAAGTTATTTGTTGTTCTGAAGTCTATTGGTGCTTCCAGAAGCGAACAGAAGAGTGGTCTCCATGGCAATTTCCAGAATGCTTTGTCACTCACCTGAAAAACAGTGGGCCCCTGTTACCTGGGCTTACAAAGACTGTGTTCAGCTTCATCATTCCTTTTATCCTAACTTCAAAAGAAAACCTTAGAGCCTTGATATCTTCTTACTTATTTCATGCAGCATCAGGAGCACCAGAGGATGATTTAGAAATTTGTCTTGAGT